AAGATATGACATAACAAAATATATAACAATTTTTAATGTAAGTGCTAATAGGGAAATTTTATAATACACATAAGAATTAGTATAATAGGTTCATAATATAGTCTAGGGGAAGAAGGAAATGAATAACACATATCAGTCTCCTGGCATTGTTGTTATATTTTAAAGTAGTTTATCTTTAATCATTGAGGAGGAAAGTGAATAAAAATTAGATTTGATACGTAATGATTAGATGAGAAACTGGTGGATTGTGTCAGTGTTTTGTACTGATATATGTTTTGGTGTTATTCTTATTTACCTTTTGTTATGCTTATTTTTATATGTCAGTATCTCCCTTTAGTGTATGAAGGTTTTGATTTTCCATGAAAAGAATTCAGTGGTATGAGTTTCCTCAGTAATGATGTAGCATCTCTATAGCTGTTCAGAAGTGATGCTTATGAACCTATTATACTAATTCTTACGTTTATTATAAAATTTCTCTATTAACACTTATATTAAAACTGTTATGTATTTTGTTATGTCATATCTTCCAACCTCTCTAAGACGTGGGCTCTGAAAATGAAGAAGGTAAGCCTATTGGTCATGGTTGAAATTCTAGTGCTTAATGCCAACTCTCAGTTTAGTTCCCATTTTTTTCCAAAAAAGTCCACTTGTATTCAAAAATGATTGGGAAACAGGTAATTTAGATCCAAAACATTTGACAGTTTCACAGAGAGATTCAGGTAATCTATCTTATTTCTATTTTGACCAGAATAAATTTTAATTATCTTTTTATTTTGAACAAGCTATTTTTGTAATCATTAGCAGAAAAGGCTTTAAACCTTAATTCAATTCATTGACTATGAATTTATCCATTTCTCTTTGTCGTTTTTGCTTCATATATTTTGAGTAACTACTCTTAGGTACATAGCATTTGAGATCAAGGATCCTGTTACGTTGATCCTTTATTATTCTGAAACCAATTCCTGTGACTAGAGGTAAAATTGTATCTAAGGATCCAGTATTTATCCATTAATAAAATTTCTATATATTCTTTAACACTATAAATCCATAAATAAAATGATTGCTTATAATTTTAAAAATGTCCTTTTTCACCTCATCTCTGTTGCCTTTTGGTAACTAAGTTGCCATATTTTTTAATAAAATTCAGTATTTTGCCATTTAAAAAATATGTCTGTTTCTTTTGGTTTGGGCTATTTCCATTATAATATGTCAGAGTTTCTTAACATTTTCCTTTAATGTTTAGTATGACATCCAGTGACAGTCTTACATCATGAAGGACACATTTACTAATGTGTACCTTGTTTTTATTACATGCAGATTTTCAGTCATTTAAAGGGTAATGCCGCCCTGTAACAGGAAAAGTGATGTAACCAGAGGGATGCCCACCAACTGATTTTGGCATTTGTATGAACATCACAGAACTGCAGGGTAAAGAAAACAAACTTGGACTTGGAATCCACACGCTTTGAAGAAATTGAGACATACTTTTTTTCTAAAATGAATATGATTTTTATCTCATAGGTTTATTGTGAGGTAAAAGTAAGAAGATAGCAATGAATGCAGGGAATGACAAGAATGACTGTATAACTGAAATACATCTTCCTGTCAAAAGTTCCTAACATGAATTTAGCTATAAGGGTTACATTCTGAGTTTAAACCTGATAGTGTAACTATAATTATTACCAGTTAATGTCTGATGTGTTAGATCAAAGATGACTAATATATTTCAATCCATATGCTAATTATGATTGAAAAGGTTGTTCTAGGGGAAAGGACATAGAATATAAGTAAAGAATATATGAAGATTCTTGAGGGACCAATTTGGAAATTAAAGTCACCAGGAGAGGGAAGGAAGAAAATGAAAAGAAAGAAAAGAACATTCCACCATGATCAAAAGACATAATCTGCATGTTTGATGTACAGTAGGCATTTCTCAGAGAAGATAAACTTTTCCAGCCCAAATAATAATGCTAAGCTCACCTCTTACCTACATCTTGCTAGAAAATTCTCAAAATGAAAACTTTAGTATAGCATTTACTTTTGAAAACCTGACCAACTTTATCTTGAGCAAACACTCTGTTTGGCCACCATCCATGCACTCCCTATGGGTCCTGTAAATTGACTAGTGTTATGCCAAGAAATTGATTTGCTCATCTATCAAACAGTTGGGCAGAAACGGAAGTATGAAATTCAGGGCAAACTTTCCCTCAATTCTTGGATAATTCACCCACTCCTTTCCTCAATATGGCTTATCAGTGTTAGAATTCTGTGTGTCCCAAGATCTTAAAAGTGTGGAAACATTATTATCTTGTTGTTCACACACCCTAATTCACAGCATTTTCATGTGCTACTTTCCTTTGAAATTTCTGATGTCTAGCTATTGACTGTGTTAGAATTATATTAGTTTCATCTAGCTGAAACATATACTTACAAAAATATGATGGTTGTTGACTTTGTGCATAATTAGTTATAATTATCTAAGCAGCAATATTTAAGCTAATTTTCAGTATGGTATATAATAAAGACACAATAAAGCACATTTGTACCTGGATTTTATCTAATTATTTTTATTTGCTTGTTTTCTTATTTTTAGTGAGATATTTTCATATTTAATTCCACATACCTCAATCCTACTTCAAGTAAACTAGTAAGTCTCAGTTGAATTGGTTATGGATATCTGAAGAGGGATCATGAGAACAAAACATTAGTAAAAGGCCAACACTACCTGAGAGCTGTCATTGTACATGAGAAAGGGAGAGCCAACTGTATATTGAACTTTGTATTAATCATGTCTCTGGAGTTCCTGGTAGAGTTCCATGTTACTGCTGAGCTGCATATGTGATGGATATGAAACAACATGGGAACACAGTGTGCATCTCATTGTCTTACACGATCCCATGTCATCTTCAGTCTCTCCTCTCTGACCCCTGCTTTATAGACACTATGAAATGTCAATGCGTTTTCTGAAAATATTTGCAGCTAACAGCTCTGCATTTTGTATTTGTTGTTTTTCCCAATTTGATTACTTAAATTGGATTTTTTTTCAGCAACCATGCTTTGTGCATTAAAGATTTCTTAGAATCTTTGTTATGGAATATTACTTTAGCTATGTAAAGATGTGTTACATTTCTTTATGTTGCATTTGTTTAAGTGTGTAAAGATATGTTGCTTTGCCTGCCTAAGTCACCTGATTGGACTAATAAAAAGCTGAACAGCCAATAGTTAGGCAGTAGAGGGATCAGGCGTAGCTGGCAGGCAGAGGGAACAAACAGGAGGAAAAATCAAAGCTCAAGACAGGAGCAGAGAATGAGGGAGAAAGAGAGAGAGATACCCGGGGCTGCCAGCCAGGCAGCTGCCAGTAAGGCAGATTGAAAGAAGCAGAAAAAGTAAGACATACAGAATGAAATAAAATAAAAAGACCAGAGGCAAATGTACATGAAGAGAAACAGGTTAAATTAAGTTATAAGAGCTAGTGGGACAAGCACAAGATAAGGCTGAACATTCATAACTAATAATAAGTCTCTGTGTCTTTATTTGGGAGCTGATTGCAGGCCCAGAGAAAGCTTGTTAAAATTCTGTTAAAATCCAACACTAGGATTTTTCTGAGCTTTGCGTTCTCTGCAAAGGCAACCTTACTTCTCATAAAAACATAGTGCATATATGTTAATTATACACTGATTGATTCTTTTTCCTTTGGCATTCTAATTCTAGGAATATCTTAATTTGTGTTTAGAAAAGGCATAACATTTGATTGGTTAAAAGTATGTTAAGAAAGTCCATAATTGTTTATATTTTCATACAATCTAATCTAATCTTGTTTTTTCTCATCTAACTTCTCTTAAAATACAGATTGATTTTTGCCGGGCGGTGGTGGCGCACGCCTTTAATCCCAGCACTCGGGAGGCAGAGGCAGGTGGATCTCTGTGAGTTCGAGGCCAGCCTGGTCTACCAAGTGAGTTCCAGGAAAGGCGCAAAGCTACACAGAGAAACCCTGTCTTGAAAAAAAGAAAAAAACAAAACAAAACAAAAATACAGATTGATTTTGATCTAATTATCATGTTTGAAGTTTTCTAGTTTCCTATTTGAAAAAATGTTCAGCCTTCCACTGTGATAATGCAAGAAAAAGATTATATCTATGTCTGTTATTAAGTTCTCACATTTTTCCATTTGATATACATCACAGACAGAATTATGTGCATTTTTGTTATTTAGACATCAATTTCATAACCACCATTTAATTAGTATTATGCAATGCCAGCCAGCATGCCATCCACACAATATACATTAGAAAAATATTTATTCTGTGAACAAATGAAACATGAAGTCTCATTTCATAATTGAAATATTAAAAGCCACGTGTGTTTGATTTTTCCATCCATCAAGTGAATCATAAAATCATATATAATCATATACATATATATATATAAATGGGTTATCATATAGTGTTTCAATATGTGTACACTTTTTAAAACAGTGTAGCATGTGCAAATATTTATCATTTTTTGTGATAAAAATTTTCAAAGTTCGGCTCCCTGTATTTGAAATACACAGCTCATTATAGCTGCTTATAGTGACTATATTGGACAAATAACATTCCAGAACTGCTTTTTCCTATGTAGCTGTTACCCACTAATCAATTCTTACTCATTGTCCCACTGCCTCCTCTCTATGGCCCTTTGTATCATTTATTCTGTTCTTAACTATTATGATAACAGATTTTTTTTTATTCCACGTATGGGTGTGACCACTCAAACTTGCCTTTCTGCTCATTTTGCTTTTCCTAATGATCTCTGGTGAAGTCTTCATGTCACAGTAGCAGCATTTCATTATTTTGTTGCAAATTATACCCTTTTGTATACCTGTACCATCTTTTCTTTGTCGTTTATTAGTTGAAGGAGAGACACTGGTCACTTCCATCTCTCAGCTATTACAAATAGTGTGTCATTGAATATGAGTGAGGTGTCTGTTTTGCGTGTTGACTCTGTATCTTTTTGATTCAGTGCAGGAAAAGGATTGCTGAGTATGGTGGTTCTGTTTGATGCTTTAAGGAATTTCCCATGCCATTTTCCTTAATTGCTGTGAGAAGAGGAACAAGGCACGAAGAGAGGGAAAAAGCCAAAAGACCCTACAACCATTTGCTTCATGAACCTCATCTGGGATAAATCAAGATCAGAATGTCCGTTGTGGAATATTACTTTAACTACATAAAAATATGTTACATTTGTTTATTCTGCATTTGTTTAACAATGTAAAGATGTATTATGTTTGTTTGTGCTGCATCTGTTTAAGTATGTAAAGATGTGTTGCTGGTTTAACTTTCCTGCCTAAGGAACCCTGTTGGACTAATAAAAGGCCGAACAGCCAGTAGCTTATCATCAGAGGGACAGGCAGGACTAGTGGGCAGAGAGAAAAAATGGGAGGGGGAATCTAGGCTTGAAAGAACAAGGGAAAAAGAGAGAGAGAGAGTCATCCAGGATCAGCCAGCCAGTGTAAAGTAGGACATATAGAGTGAAAGAAAGTTAAAAAGCCCCAAGGCAAAAATGTAGATGAAGAGAAACAGGTTAAATTATGGTATAAGAGCTAGTGGGACAAGCATAAGATGAGGCCTAGCATTCATAACTAATAATATCTCTCTCTGTCTTTATCTGGGAGCTGGTTGGTGGTCCAAAAGAAAGCCTGCTGTGAATGGCGGAATCCACTACCACCAGGCTTCGTTCATGGAGTCCTCTGTGGTAGGGCTGATGGTGCTAGTCTATGTATTCACCAGGCACCTCTTCGTCTCCCTGAAAGGGCTGGAGACAGCTTTGTTGAACACAAAAAAAAAATCTGCTGGGCAATCTAAAACAAAACATAGGCCAAAGTATAGGAAGAGGCAATGGAATATCCGAGGAGATGGGAGTAACTGAATCTCAGTGAGCGGTGAACTTGGAAGCCCTGAGGGACTGTCCATCAGGTCAGCTACTTATAGAAATTGTTGAGGCTGCTTGCTTTTGTCTCTCAAGAGCATAACTTTCCGTTTTCTTCCACCAGGCAGCCATCCATGATTGCTCCTTTATGAACTGCCCTCCTCTGCACCCCAGGCCATATTCAATTCTTTGATTACCACAGGAACACCCCCCTATGTTCCTTTCTAAACTTTGTGTCAAGATGAAGAAGGACTTGAGAGTTGGACTTGGGGTGCCTCTGATATCATGGGAGATGATTAATATTTCCAGTCACAGTGTTAAGGCTTTCCCTTTTTCTAACCTTACAGTGTTTGTCCAATTTTGTCTTTTTGATAAAGTATTATATTTATTTATATGGTGCAATATATAAAATCCACCAATTTAACACATAAATGAACATTTTTCAGTTTGCATTTCAAGAAGAAGGTATTTTGATTTTAAGATACCATTTTAAACCTTACCAAAAAATGTTCTTGGTCAAAAATGATATATGGGATAAAACATTTTATTTTTTCCATTTCTGTTTAATCATCACTCTTTTTACAGAGCAAAAAAAATGAAAATGAAGCCTTTCAAATGCTGATTTTATTTATATGAATTGTCTTTGTCTTATGTTACAGAAACAAGGACACTTTATTTTCATTTTAAGAAGAGATATAATTCATTCTGTTTCTTTCTCTCATAACAAACCCATATATCATTCAAGTTTGAATTAATGTATTATGGCAGGAAAATTACTGTAGATGCCATAACTATCAACAAGGAACTGATTGGACTCTCTACTTATCTGAGAATATTTATTTCTGATACAGACATATATATGTATCTATGTTAATTTCAGCAATTTTTTGTCATACCCCATGTATGAAACAATGGAAGCTGTGTGGGACTCTGGGAAGTTTGACAGTTGCAAAAGAAAATACTCACATATTTTTGTGGAAATATGTCATAACATCTTTTCTTACTCTTTTCCCACCATCCTCAAATTCATGGCCTTCAAATGAATTTGGTAAGAAAATTAAGCATGAATTTGGTAAGAAAAAAATAGACTTGTTTGTGGTATTATTTAAGTAAAAATTCTGTGTAATTAAGTATAATTTTCTTACATAAATCAACGTGTACAACATAAAATATGTTTTGAACTTATTTTGAAATTCTCATTTCCAAGGAAATAATTAAAAATTTGATTCAGCATAGTTTGCATGTTCTGTAGATTATGATTCATTAATTGATGTGAGACCAGTTATGGAATATTTATCTAAGTGACCAAAGAGATCCCATGGAAATCCCATAACAATCCAGGTGATTGGCAAGAGAATGGGTTGCTCTCCAAAAATTGACAGCAAGGTTCCATTGCTGAAGACAATACCTATACAACTTATTCTCCAAAAATTGACAGCAAGGTTCCATTGCTGAAGACAATACCTATACAACTTATTGAATATGAAAAGGTCAAGCTGGTGTGTATATAGAACCTTCACCCATACCTTCGACTCTCTTTGGTATGAGAAGTTATTCTGCAGTCTACCAAAAGAGAAACATAAACACCAACTCCGTCACAAAACTTTGGATGAGCAGTTCTTTCCTGACTGAAAATTATGCTAGGGCGATGGTGGCACAAAGCTGTGGGAGTAACCAGTCAATGCCTTATTTAACTTCAGGCCTACAACACAAGATAGAACCAATACCTGCCACTGCTTGGGTGACCAAGAACCAGAGACTAGATATCCCAGAGACTTAGGGTAAAGCCAAATACTACTGGTTAAAAAGAAAACATTGTGATAAAATAACTCCTAATGAAATTCTATTATACTCATAGATTGGTGCCTTCTTCACTTGTAATCAGAGAAACTTTTTCCTGAATCAGATGGAAACAAATAGAGAGAACCACAGCCAGACATTATTCAGAGAGAGAGAGAGAGAGAGAGAGAGAGAGAGAGAGAGAGAGAGAGAGAGAGAGAGAGAGATATGGTGGTATGGAGAGGGAGAGGAAGAGGTCTTGGAACACAGCTCTAAACTGGATGTCTCCATCAAATGCCTCCCCTCAAAGCTCAGAAAACCCCTCAAAAGAGGAAGGAGAGGACGTTTGGGAGCTGAAGGTGATGGAGGACACCAGGATAACGAGTCCCTCTAAGTTAACTGAATAAAAGCTCCTATGAACTCACAGGCATTGAAGGATCAAGCAAAGAACCTGCCCCTGTGTGTACCAGGCCGCCACATATACATTATAACTTTTATTTAGTTTTTTTATGGGATTTCTGAGTAGGTGAATGAGTGAGTCTCTCATTCTTGTGCATTCTTTTGAGTTTCTTCTCTTCTGTTGGTTTACCTTGTCCAACTTTGATTTTGTTTTGTATAATTATGTTTTATTTTGTTATGCTTTATTGTTATCTCTTAAGAGCCTGTTCTTTTCTAATAATAGACAGACATGGAATGGATCAAGATGGGAGGCAAGGTGAGGAAGAATTGAGAGGAGCAGAGCAAGGGAAAATGAGTATATATTATATGAGATTAAAAATCTCTTTTCAATAAAAGAGGAAAAATTCAAATGATTAAAACAAGCAATAAGGCACAGGAATTATAAACTTGCCCAGGAAGCAACAACTCATATGTTTTAAATCAAGAAGGACAAATACAAGTATAGCTCTATCTTCTTTAAACCTCACAAGAAGAGGAGGAAGAAGAGGAGGAGGAGAGAAAGAAAGAAAGAAAGAAAGAAAGAAAGAAAGAAAGAAAGAAAGAAAGAGAAATCTTAGCCAGAGAAATAATAAAAGAAAGTAAAAGGGATGTAAGTAAAAAAAAAAATGACAAAATTGTGTCTTTATGTAGATGATAGGATCCTATTCTCAGAGAATCTACCAGAAACCTATAGTTCTGATAAATACTTTCAGCAAAGCAGTAGGATGCAAAATCAATAAATAAATATCAGTACTTTGTCTATATAGAAGTAACATACTTGATGAAATTCAGAGAAAATACCCCATTCCCATATCCTCAAAAATTATACCACATCCTCAAAAATAAAATGAAATCCTTAAGCATGAACTTAACCAAAAAAATCAAAATATCTCTTTAATGAAACTATAAAATACTGAGCAGAGACATTTAAAAAGTTTGTACAAGATAGAAAGACTGCGTATGCTCATAAATTAATATTACACAATAACTGTATTATCACAAGTGACAAAACAATAAATGAAATCCTTAGGAGGATTGCAATAACATTTTCCCCAGAAACAGAGAACAACTCTAAAATTCATATGGAAACACAAAAGACTCAGACAAGCCAAAATAATCCTGAGAAAGATGAGCTAAGCATGTGAGAACCAATAATATAGAACAGAAGATATAGTAATAAGTCCACATAACTATTTAATATGATTCTTGAAAAGTTTACCCAAAGGAAACATTGGAAGAAAAGGCAGTCTTCTTAACAAGTACTTCTGGGAAAGGCACTTGTATATATATCCATATGTTGCTATACATAGGAAAAGAAACAATTAAAAGTATAAAATAGTATCTACAAAGATAGACAAAATATTTTTCAGATATTTTTAATCAAACTGGATATCAATATCCAGAATACATAAATACCTCAAATGACTAACCATAAAGTGTAAGTAATCAAACTAAAATGGGCAAATGAGTAGAAGAAATGTTTCTCAAAAGAAGCAAAGATAGCCAATAAATATATGAAAAATGTTTAAATTCAAAGCCATTATGGACATGCAAATGAAACTACACCAAAGTTCCATCTCAGCTCTGTCAGCACAACTGTCACCAGGAAAACCAACTGGAACAAATTTTGGCATGGTACATGGGGTAGGTTCAATAAAAACAAACTTTTGTACAGTGTTGATGGGAATATTAGTCAGCTCAAACAAATCAATATGGAAATTTTTAAGTACAAAACATAGAACTAACATTTGTTTCAGCTGTGTTGCACCTAGCTATATATCCAGAGAAATATAAATTAGTATATCTGATGCATGCATATTTATGCTACTGTTACACTTAAAAACGGCTGACTAACAGAATCCACTCAGGTGTTCATAAATAAATGAAGGGTTAAAAATTTACACACACACACACACACCACAAACTCACTTGCACACACAAACACACACACACACACACACACACACACACACATACACACTGAAGTTTTATTTGGATTCAATGAAGAAAAAGTCTTGTCATTTGTGGAAAAATGAATGGAATTCGAGATGATTATGTAATGTGAAATAAGATGGTCTCACAAAAGCACATATCACCTGTCCTCTTTCATATGTAGGATTTATCGGATCATGAAACCAAAAGACAGACTATTACATGAATACAAGAATAGTAGAATGAGACTGAGTAAAGTAGAAAAATAGAGCAGGTAAATATAATCAAAACAGTATATACGTGTAGAGATATGCCATTATTTAACCAAGTGTTTCTTACAGTCAATAAAGGAAAAAAAAAGTTTTCTGCAATACAGTAGAGTGAATAAAATTAACAAAATAATGTATTCTACATTTTCAAAATAAAAAAGAAAAGGGAGGATTTTAATGTATTTTCTATAAAGAAATGATACATTTGTTTTGTGTAGGATGGATCTAAATGTTTCTCAAAAGTCCATTGGAAAAACTGACTTCTTAGGATGGCTGTATGGGAAATAGTGGAGCCTTTAGAGATCAGGGGCTAGCAGGTGGTGTTTGTTATCTTTCAAGTTGTGCCTTAGAATAGGATTTGGGGATCCTAATCTCTTATTTAATTTTATTTATTCCCTGATAATGATATGAACAGTATTACTGCACAAAGAACCTATGACAGAAAGTGCTACCTTGAAACAACCCCTAAAGCAATGGGACCTATCATTAATGGACTGGATCCTCATGAGCCAAAAAATCAATATTTTCTTTTTATAATTTGATCATCTTGGTTATTTGTTATAGTGATGGAAACAAACTAATTCAGTAATAAAAAGTACACTAATTCCAATTTATTCATGAAAATGACATTTAAATTTATCAAAAGTATATTAACTATGTTAATCTGAAACTAAAATAGTTAAGATAAATACTTTTCATGATTAAAAATATGCATATGAACAAATTGTCAAAGAAGTATGAATGCATAAATTCAATTCAGTGGTTCTCAACCTGTGGGTTATGACTCCTTTGGGGTCACATATCAGATATCCTGCATTATGATTCATAAAAGTATTATATTATCATACATCATGATTCATAAAAGTAGAAAGTTACAGTTATGAAGTAGCAACAAAATAATTTTATGGTTGGTGGGGTCACTGCAACACAAGGAACTAGGTTAAAGGGTCATAGCGTTAGAAAGTTTGAGAACCACTGATTTAATTCATTCTCTTGTTTCTTTAATACCTCGAAACAATCAGTTTAAATGTTCGATATTTAAGGTACACCCTTTCCACCTTCTTAAAAGGGGATCTGCAGATATTAAGTCTCTTAACTCTTTTATGTCTATGAACTGCTTTACCTCTCCATTATCCCTCATGGAGAATTCATAGTCAGATGGTTCTTCCTTGACATGTGGAGGCTTCAGTTGGTTATCTTCTACAAACTGTTGACTAAGAACATGTTGGCCATTTGGTTTGCTGATCCTCAGTCTCCAGTCTTTTAAACTGTTTTCTTTGATTTAATTTTCATGCAGTTGATTAAAAATTATCTAGTCGTTCATTGGTTTCATGGCATCTTGTTTTCATTTCAGTTGATTGAATCTAGACATTTATGATTTAGTTTTCATCAAATTAAGGGAGGTTTTATCTGTTTCTTCCCTTTGAGTATAATTTTAGCTGGACACTACATATACACACACACACACACACACGCTTATGAGACATGAGGTGGCCAGGGCTCACCTACTGATTGCTCCTCTCATGGCAGAGTATGCTACCCTAAACCCATGCACAAGGGACAAGTAATGATAGATTGAAACATCAAATTTAGGTGTCCAAATGTTTTTCTTCCCCTTAAGTTTATTATGATCTCAAATACTTTGTCCTAAATATAGAAAACTAACTGACTCACTGATCTTAGGCATTTAAAAATAAGTATAGGATCAAATTACCAAAATAAAATTTAATATAGGAAAGTTTGACAGTCATGCCAGGATAATGAG